CGGCGCTGGAACAAATGATCATTGAAATAAGTTTAAAACCCTACAGTGTGAGTTTATCCTCATGTCACATAATTGTTCCTTGTTCCCTCATGACAAAGGGAGACTTTGTGATGAATGCAGTCTTACCCTGATCTGTAAAAGTGAGTGATGCCAGAGTTTAGCTTCAGGAGAGTTAGCTCAGGGCCTTACCTCAGGATCTCCCAGTCCAGGGCCACGGGATTCTCTGCTAATAACAGGTTTAACAGGGCTCCATCTTCTCTGCAAATACAGGGTGTCCCCCAAAAATGTATACACAGTTTAACAGCTGATAGCTCAATTTTGAAAATGAAATGTATTTCAGTAAACACTGCCTTTATAATTATTCATAGTGTGTGTACGTTTTTTAGGACACTATTTTTAATGAGCACCTTCTTCCGGGGAGGGCTCCTTCTACCTCCGTCAATGGGACTTTTTAGGGAAAATTTGAGATTCAAGTACTTTGAGAGTAGGAAGGGAAACAGAACTAACTTTTCCCAAGCAGCTACAATGAGCCAGGTATTTTATGCTATTTTGTTTATTCCTCACCATAGGAAATGTGCTATTTTTTTTTTTTTTAAGCAAAGCAAAAATTTAATGAAGGAGAGAAAAAGCTCCCGCCATAGCGAGAGGGATCCCGAACAGGTAGCCCAAAATGTGCTATTTTTTAATGAGTTTTGTTTGTTTGTTTGTTTGTTTTACAAATGAGGGAACAGAGTGTTAGAAAAACTAAGGAGTTTCCCAAGGTCATAATAAGCACATAGGTTTAGATGAAGTGTGCCAGATTTTCAAGGCTGCTTTTCCTTTATTATATAATAATGATATTTACAAAAAGGACATATACCAAAAAATCTTTAATTTATCATAAGATTAATTATGTTTGAGTGTAAGTGTAATAATTGCTTTTTATTAATTATAATTAATCATAAAAATAAATACGATATTGACCTCACATTTATAACTCTCTCCGTATCTAGTGCCATCAGAAGGTTTGCGATGTACTCCCGAATCCCTCTGGGAGGAGCTGTCCTCAGAGCATGAAGGTCTGGAGGAATTAATAAATCAGCAAATGCATCCTTTCTCCCAGGGAATTTTGATCCTTTCTAGAAGCTGGGCTGTGGACCTGAACTTGCAAGAAAAGCAGGGAGTCATCTGTGACGCTCTGCTGGTAACACAGAACAGCCCCCCGATTCTCTATACCATTCTCAGGGAGCAGGGTGCGGACGGGCAGTTGTACTGCACCCATACCGCCTTTACTTTGAAGCAGAAGCTGGTGAACATGGGGGGCTATACTGGGAAGCTGTGTATCATGACCAAGGTTCTCCATCTGAGTCCTGAGAACAGTGCGGAGTCCTCTGAAGGTTCAGGCTATCTGATTGATTACCCTGAGTCCTATGACCTTGCAGACACCCAGCAAATGGAAGCTTTACTGCAGTGCCTTGTGATCGTCTTGCTCAGCTTCAGGTCTTTCCTGAGTGACCAGCTTGGCTGTGAGATTTTAAATCTGCTCACAGCCCAACAGTATGAGATTGTCTCAAAGAACCTCCACAAGACCAGAGAATTGTTTATCCATGGTTTACCTGGATCAGGGAAGACAATCGTGGCCATGAAGATCATGGAGAAGATCAAGAATATGTCGGGTTGTGAGAAAAATGAAATTCTCTATGTTTGTGAGAACCAGCCTCTGAAGGACTTTATCGGGTAAGCAGTTGGATCTTGTCACCGCATGAGGTTCAGTTTGAATTCATTCCATATCTCCCTCTACTCAAATAACTTTGTTCCTTGACAGTAGGATGGTAAATGGATCTGTAACAACAGTCCAGTGTTCGTAGGAATATGATAGAGTAATTTTCCTCCTTTATATACCTGGAGAAAACCTGATCGTGTCTTTTTAATTTTTGCAGTAAAAAAGGTATCTGCCATGCAGTGACCCGGAAAACCTTCATGGGTAATACTAACTTCAAAAACATTCAACACATCATCATTGATGAAGCTCAGAATTTCTGCGTTGAAGATGGGAATTGGTACGAGAAGGCAAAAACCATCACTCAGAAAGAAAAGAATTACCCTGGAATTCTCTGGATCTTTCTGGACTACTTTCAGACTAACCACATGGAGTGCAGTGGCCTCCCCAGTCTCCAATACCAGTATCCTAGAGAAGAGCTCATTAGAGTGGTCCGCAATGCAGATCCAATAGGCAACTACCTACAAAAAATAATGCAGAAAATCAAAGAAAACCCACCACCTAACATTCCCCCTGAGTCCCTGAGTATACTGTGTGAAGCTGAATGGTCTCAGGGTGTTCTAGGTAACTTTCAGTTTAAGAGGTACTTGGATTTGGAGGAGATGGTGGTTTTTATAACAGAGAAATGCCAGTTTTTCTTGAGGAATGGTTATTCCTACAAGGATATTGCTGTGCTTTGCAGCAAGGCACCTAATGCAAACATATATAAATTTATGCTTCAAAGAGCAATGAGGAAAAGAAATTTTCAGCTCAATGAGGAATCTGATCAGTTCATACGGATCGGAGATGCATCAGATATCACGGGCAATCACATCGTGGTGGACAGTGTTCGTCGATTTTCAGGCTTGGAAAGAAACATTGTGTTTGGGATTGATCCAAGGGGAGCTCACCCAGATGTTTTCCACAGTCTTCTGCTCTGTCTGGCTTCCAGGGCAAGGAAATATCTGTATGTTCTGATGCCTCAGGAAGAACAGATCTCAGTCTAAGAAGAATTGATAGAGACAAATTATTCTATATCCCTGCAGTTTCAGAAAAGGAATTACTACTCTACATCATAAAAGCATTATTTCTAACAATCGACCCTTGTAAGATAACTGGTTTCTGAGTAGTTGCTATATCCTGTGACATGAACTTCTAAAAAGTCTAATTTTTTTTTTAATATGGAGCACTTCACAGATTTATGTGTCATTCTTGTGCAGTCTGAATTGCGTTGAATCTGTAGATTACTTTGGGTAGTATAAACATTTTAATGATGATGGTAATCCTTCCTATCCATGAACACGGTATATTCTTCCACTTACTTGTATCTTCTTCAGTTTCTTTCTTCAGTATCTTACAATTTTCCAAGTACAAGTCTTTTACCTCCTTCGTTAAATTTATCCCTAGGTACCTTATTTCTTTGTTGCAATAGTAAATGGGATTGTTTTCTTAATTTCTCTTTCTGGTAGTTCATTATTGGTGTATAAAAATGCCACTGATTTCTGAATATTAATTTGTGTATCCTGCTACTTTGCCTAATTCATTTATTAGGTCCAGTAGTTTTTTTGGTGGAGTCTTTAGGGTTTCCCATATACAATATCATGTCATCTGTGAACAATGATGGTTTTACTTCCTCCTTGCCTATTATTTCTTCTTCTCTGACTGCTATGGCCAGGACTTCCAATACTGTGTTGAAGAAGGGTGGTGAAAGTGGACATCCCTGTCTTGTTCCTGATCTTAAGTGAAACACTTTTAGTTTTTGCCCATTGAGTATGATGTTGGCTGTGGGTTTGTCATGTATGGTCTTCATTATGTTGAGGTATAATCCCACTTGCTGAGAGCTTTTATCATAAATGGGTGCTGGATTTTATCAAATGCCTTTTCAGCATCTATTGATATGATCATGGGATTCTTATCCTTCATTTTGTTTATGTGATGTGTCACATTTATTGATTTGTGAATATTGTACCAGCCTTTCATCCCCTGAATAAATCCCACTTAATCATGTTGTATGATTTTTTTAATGTATTGCTTGATCTGATTTGCTAATATTTTGTTGAGGATTTTAGCATCTATGTTCATCAGGGGTATTGGCCTATAATTTTCTCATGGAATAGAATAGAAAGCACGGAAATAAACCCTGTGCCTTTATGGTCAATTACTATTTGACATAGGAGGCAAGAACATGTAATAGGGTAAAGACAGTCTCTTCAATAAATGGTATTGGGAAATTGGAGAGATACATGCAAAACAATGAAACCAGACCATGAACTTAAACCATACACAAGAATAAACCCAAAATGCATTAAAGACTTAAAATGTAAGTTTCAAAACCATAAAAATCCTAGAAGAAAACATACGCAGTAAGTTTCAGACATTTCTCATAGCGATATATTTGCCAATATATCTCCTCGGTCAAGGGAAACAAGGGAAAAAATAAACAAATGGGACTATATCAAGCTAAAAAGCTTTTGCATCAAAAAAATGAAACAGGAACCCACTGAATGGGAGAACTTATTTGTCAATGATACAGCTGAGAAGGGGTTAATTTCCAAAATATATAAAAAACTTCTATAACTCAACACCAAGAAGACAAACAACTCAACTTAAAAATGGGCAAAAATGCCCTGGCCAGTGTGGCACAATGGTTAGAGTGTCAGCCTGCGCACCAAGGGTCACGGGTTTGATTCCCTGTGAAGGGCATCTACGTAGGTTGCAGGTTTGATCCCCAACCCCAGTCAGGGGTCGTGCAGGTGGCAACCAATCTATGTGTCTCTTTCACAGCGATGTTTCTCTCCCTCTCTCACTCCCCCAGCTCCCTCCTTTCCACTATCTCTAAATTTCAATGGAAAAAATATCCTCAGGTGAGGATTAACAACAACCACCAAAAATGGGCCAAAAAAATGGGCAAAGGACCTGAATAGACAAAAAGGACAAACAGATGGCCAGTAGACGTATGAAAAAAAATGCTCAATGTCATTAATCATCAAAGAGATGCCAATTAAAACCACAATGAGATATCACCTCCTACCTGTCAGAATGGCTTCCGTCAATAAATCAACAAACAACAAGTGCTGGCAAAGATATGGAGAAAAGGGAACACTCAAGCATTGCTGGTGGGAATGCAGACTGGCTCAGCCACTGTGGAAAACAGTATGGAATGTCCTCAAAAAATTAAAAATGAAACTGCCTTTTGACCCAGTGATCCCACATCTGGGAATATTTTGGAAGAAACCTGAATTCGAAAGAATATGTGCACCCCTATGTTCATTGCCGCACTATTTACAATAGCCAAGATGTGGAAGCAGCCCAAGGGCCCACCTATAGATGAGTGAGTAAAAAAGCTGTGGTACATTTACACCATGGAATACTACTAGGCCATAAAAAAGAAGGAAATCTTGTTGTTGTTAATCCTCCCTGGAGGATATTTTTCCATTTATCTTTAGAGAGAGTGGAAGTGGGGGGAGAGAGAGAGAGAAACATCCATGTGAGAGAGACATATTGATTGGTTGCCTCTCACAAATGCCCCAAACCGAGGCGGGGATTGAACCTGCAACCCAGGTACATGCCCTTGACAGAGAATCCAACCCGTGACTCTTCAGGGCTCGGGCAAACGCTCTAACCACTGAGAACACCGCCAGGGCCTTAATATTTTTAATCTCTAAGACTCATTGTTTTATACATCAACATGCATTATATTTGCCCACACACTTATCCTTTCGGTAAGTTTGAAGTTATTTAAAAATAAAAATAAATAATAAGATTGAATTCAGGCGTGACCTCATTTAGGAATAAATCTAACTTCCATTGACTTCAGGTACCCATGTCCTTGGTGTCCCATGGTCCATGCACTGTTCTTCCCTTTCACTTCACAGAGTCATAATTGTCTTTGTCGCCCATTATGCCAGTAGATTGTGAGCTTCTTAAAACCAGAAACTGTGTTACATTTACGTTACCAGCACTGAGCCCAGGGCCTGGTAGAAGATAAGCTTTCTAATACTGATTGGATTAACATGTATAAGGATGACTGTCATCTTCTCTGAGGATGTTCTAATTATTCCACCCTTTCTTCTCAGATACCATTAGGCCGGGTTACATGTACTCCAGAAATACTCTGCAAGGAAGTGTTTCCACAATGTGAAGGACTCAGAGTTAATACATTAAAAATGACTCTTTCTCTCTCAAGGTGCATTGATGTATTTTATAAGTCGGCCTATGGACCCAGTGCCACAGTCTGTAGAAGAAATCAAGGAGTCATCTATGACACTTGCCCAATTTCTCAGAACCACCTCCCAGTTCTCTATACAAGCAGTTGACAAACTACAGACCATGGGTCCAATGCAGCCTCCTACCTGTTTTTGTTAGGTCCATAAGCTAAGAATGGCGTTTACATGTTTAAAAGTTTGAGAAAATCAAAAGAAGAGTAATGTTTTGTGACATGTGAAAATTAGACAAATTTCAATGTTTACTGTCCATCTAAAGTCTATTGGGGTGTAGCTATGTCATTCATTTATGCATTGTCTTTGATTCCTTTCGTGCTACAACAGCAGAGCTGAATAATTACAACAGAGACTCTGGCTGACAGAGCCACCATGTTTACTCTCTGGTCTTCTACCGAAAATGTTTACTGAGCCCCGATCTACACCTCGCAGGCCCTGGGCAGCCGGGTGGAAGGGCTGCTCCACTGGCAGTGCCCTTCCACTACAGCAGAAGCTGGTGAAAATGGGAGCTTGCCTTGGAAATGTACAGTTCCTAACAGTGGTCTGCAATGAGAGGAACACACGGGTTCATGATGGTTCAGGCTTGCATAACATATCCTGAGATGAAAAGTCTCACAAACACCCTCAAAATGAAGCTTTGTTGCAGTCTCTGTACTAGCCATTTTTGGCCTAGTTTAGTCTTATGTGAGCAGCTGAGCTCTGAAGTTTGAATGTATCCAGATAAAAATGTAAGCTGTTTTTTTGTTTATCTTCACCCTAAGATATGTGTGGTTTTTTTTATTGATTTTAGAGAGAGAGGAAGGAAGAGAGGGANTTTGAATGTATCCAGATAAAAATGTAAGCTGTTTTTTTGTTTATCTTCACCCTAAGATATGTGTGGTTTTTTTAATTGATTTTAGAGAGAGAGGAAGGAAGGAAGAGAGAGAGAGAGAGAGAGAGAAACATAGGTGTGAAAGAGAAACATCAATCAGTTGCCTCCCATACACGCTCCAAACCCACATCCTAAGTATGTGCCCTGACTGGGAATTGAACCCATGACCTTTTGGTGTACGGGATGACCCTCCAACCGACTGAGCCACACCGACCAGGGCCAATGTAAGCTGTTTTTAAAGAACCTTGGTGACAGCAGAAAATGTTGTTTGCAACTTAACTGCAATAGGGAGAAGGTCAGAATGTGTTTCCTTGAGAGTCATTTGAGGGTTTTTACATTTATGAAAAGGAGCCTCTGAAGAAGTTTGTGAGGTGTGCAGCCTGCTCATGATGACAAAAAATGAGGCTTAGACTGCTTTCTTTTCCTGAATAATCTTGATGGGCATTGCTCTATGTTTGGATGAGGTGAGCAATGTTACACCTTATATGTATGTAGCTGTTTAATAGTTGAATCTGCTTTATTAGAAAAACCTGCATGTGTGCCTTACATTAAAAAAAATTTTTTCATATGTTTTTATTGATTTCAGAGAGAGGAAGGGAGAGGGAGAGACAAATAGAAACATCAATCACGAGAGAGTCATTGATCGGCTGCCTCCTGCACGCCTCTTACTGGGAATCAAGCCTGAAACCCACGTGTGTCCTCTGACCCGGGAATCGAACTGCCATCTCCTGGATCCTAGGTCGATGCTCAACCTCTGAGCCATGCCTGCTGGGTGCCTTACATTTTTAATAGCAAGTAAACCATCTTCCAGACAGTAGCCCAGAAAACCTTTATGAAAAAGTAACNGCCCAGAAAACCTTCATGAAAAAGTAACTTTGAGAAGAGGCAACATGGCATCATTGACCAAGCTAAGAATTTCCACAGACACAGGGACTGCTACAAGAAAAAAAAAATCATTCCAAGGACAAAAGTNCTTTGAGAAGAGGCAACATGGCATCATTGACCAAGCTAAGAATTTCCACACTGACACAGGGACTGCTACAAGAAAAAAAAAATCATTCCAAGGACAAAAGGTTGCCCAGGAATACTCTTTGGATTTTCATGAACTACTTTCTGACTAGGACTTGGATTACAGGGCCTTCCTCATTTCCTAGCCCAGTATTCAGGAAAGAGCTCCCAGAGTGGTTCGCAATGAGATCCGAAGGTCAAG